GGTGACTGTGAGTGTGTCGCTCGGTTGGATGCTGTCTGGGTGCGGCCGTACGCCCTGGGTGACTGTGAGTGTGTCGCTCGGTTGGATGCTTCTGGGTGCGGCCGTACGCCCTGGGTGACTGTGAGTGTGTCGCTCGGTTGGATGCGTCTGGGTGCGGCCGTACGCCCTGGGTGACTGTGAGTGTGTCGCTCGGTTGGATGCGTCTGGGTGCGGCCGTACGCCCTGGGTGACTGAGTGTGTCGCTCGCTGCTTAAACTAAGTTCTCATCATTATTCGGGGACTGATGCGTCTGCTTGATTCAGCCTGGCAGTCTCCCTCTGCCCTGGCCGTTAAAATGGCCTCTCTGGGGTCCGGTTGCAGATTGAACAGCACTTTGGGTGGGTGCTTTGGCCTGTACTACGAAGCGGGGTTACTGGCTTATCGGGGTAACCTGTCCGCCGCTTCGTAGTACAGGCCACTGGTCCATCTCGGGTGGGTTTGTTTCTTACATTCAGCTGTTGGTCGCCTAACCCCTTGCTTATTTAATAGCTCATTGTTTGAGCTTCCGGGGGAAATGGCTGTCGTAGGGATGCCTCTCATTTCTGCCACAAATGATGGTGAAACACCAGCTATGTGACCTCGTCGAGCTCCGGCTGTTAGAAGCTGGTGAAGCTAAACTGAAGATGGTGGCTTGTGGTGGAAGCAGGAAGACAGGGGAGGGTGCATGTGTCAAGGGATCTGCATTTGGTCTCGCGTAGTTCTCTTGGTTAGCAGCCCACAAGCCAAAAGCTTCCTTCGACATAATTAGCATTGATGGAGAGCACCACCATGTGGTGACACCTAGAACTGCAAGAGACTGGCTCTGACTTCTTCAAAATCAAGCACGACTGCGGGGACTGACGATCCCAGGCTGTGCCGATCAAATTCTCATCCTGACCTTGTCAATGAAATAGGCTAACATCCCTTTGGTTGTACCCAGCAGCAGTGGGAGGGGGATGGGGGATGGGGGAGGGGGCGGGTGGTTCAGAATTGAAGCAGTAAAACCAAAATAATGGTGCTAAAAGCTGTGACCCTGGGGAGGATCGCCGCTGGTGTCTGAGCGTTTTCCGAAACCAGATCATGTTTGATGGACGGGTCTCGTGTTCCCTCCACAGGCCATGAAGAAGATAAACAAGGCCTGTCTGAAGTATCCAGAGTGGAAGCAGAGGCACAGCCCTGGGTACAAGCCGTGGCTGTACCCTGAGCAGAACCAGCTGGCCAGCATCCCCATGTCGGAGCTGAGCGTCCAGCATGCGGAGTCCCTGGAGAACATCGATGAGAGCAGCCTGAGCGAGGCGAAGGATGAGCGGGGGGAGGGTAGCGATGAGGAGGGGGCCAACTGAGGGGACACACACACACACAGACTAACCACACACACAGGCAGCCTTCCTGTCCACGCACGTTCACAGATGCAGCAGATGTTTGCGCAGCCTCTGCAGATCTTTTTGTCGTCCCCCCCCCTTCCTCTGCAACAGTCAAACCTCAAAACTGGACCCTCAGACACACGTGACACTAGACGTGCTGCAGGCGTGTAGCCGTCCTTCATACGTGATTACATCACAGGATTTGGAAGGGACTCCTAATCCACACAGCCAAATAACCACCATTGGCCGCCCTGGAGTCCTCTGACTTCTCCTGGCTGATCAGCACATAAACTCAGTCTCTGTTTGAAGAGCAATGGCCAGTGTGTTTGTCTGCTGTGACTCTCCCTGGAAATATAGCCCCCCAGTGGCCCAAGCTCATATCATGCCCCCTCCCTGTTCACCAGGCTTAATGTTCTGATTTTTGGGAGTGTTTGTTGTGTGAACGTATGTTTAAAAACAAGTGAAAATACAGAGTATCTTGAAGGTTTTGAGATGGTCTTTGCTCGCTCTCTCTCTCTCTCTCTCTCTCTCTCCCTCCCTCCCTCCCTCTCTAACCAAACGGACTTCACACTGGTTTGACTTCACACCCTGAGCTCTGGGTTTCTCAGCACTGAGACGGCCGTTTCCGTCCTTTTTCGTTGCTCAGAGGCCTTGTCAGTTCAAACAGTACCAGCCCATTTAACTACTATGCTGAGAGCATGTGAAGTACCAGCTGCTGGTTCACACTCGTGAGCGCTGGTTCACACTCGTGAGCGCTGGCCAGTGTGAAAGTGTGCACAGCTCACAGGCGCCTCTTCCTGTGTGTTTTGAGGGGGTTAGGATTTCTTATCGATCGTCTTTTTTTTTAAATTCCCCATAACAACCCTGTCAATTTTACTGTGAACAGGGATGGTGGTTTGAGTGAAAGTGCTTCTCTTTACGCCCCGCTTCTGACCATTGCCGTGGCTCCTGAAAGACTGACCCTATGCAGTGAGCCGATCACATTCACCCCCTATTTCTGGTGCATCATGGGAAGGAAGTGGTGATCTTGCATGCGTTACATTGTACTATTTATTAATGCTGTATGAAACAGTTTCCAGTGAGACACATGGCCGTGTCAAAAGTGCTAAAAATTATGACACTACGACTGCTACATATATTAGCTACTGCAGTTAAGTTTTCAAGGTCAGGCCTAAAGTTTGCTAGGATACCAGTTAATGCAGTGCAATTGGCTTAAGGTCAAACGATTTCTGTTGCCACAATAAGTGAATATGGACATCCTCCCCCCCCCCCATAATAGGAGCAGGGCTTCTCACACTTGTTTGTGTATGCTCACCACCTGAAACTGATGCAGCTTCCGGTATCATCTTGTCTAATGATCTCAAACCTCAGAATGGTCACCCGGGCCGTGTGTCACGGCTCTGCCTCCCAGAAGGTAGTGGCTCATGTTTCCTGAGAACCTGAAGTTCTGACATTGCCTTCACCTGAGTGCCGTCCTTCACCTGTGACCTTTCCAGAAGGGTTATACAGTGGGTATAAAGCCAGTGACCAGCAGGTTCATCATCTACTAAAATAATTTCTCTGCACTGGCGACTCCTCGGGTGGGTTTTGCGCTGTGTACTTCTGCAGCCACCCTGACTGGTCAACATAACTTCAACTGGTTATATTCATTTTGGGATGTAACTTAGGCTGATTTATGTTACAGACAAATGGAACCATTTCATTAGTTGATTATCCGGAGATGATGGGTTTCTTCCTGTAATTGTCACGGTTCGCGGGTGAGCGAGTAGGGAAGCAGGCGAGCAAGCCAGGACTTCAGGTAAAGCTGGGTTTAATGCACAAGACACGGACATCGACGGACAATACAATGACAAGTCTGGGGAAGACTGACTCAGACGAGGACTAAATACAAAAGACAAGCTAGACTTAATAGGACACAGGTGATCACAATAGGGCTGAACACGAGGTAACGAGGTGGGCGTGGCACACATCAGGAGCGGACGGAGCGGGGCGTGACAGTAATATACTGGTGAAGGTGCGGCCTGCCACCATTTATTAGTGCTGCAGTTGTGAATCCTTCACAACAATAACCCCATTGCGAATTAATGTTTATTTCCATTTTTAAAGAGAATAATAAAAGCACGGGGCTTATTTTAATTGGGTTTTAAAGAAATACGTCTCTTTGTACATTCTTCCATTAATATTTATATGGTGACGTAAACGTAATCCTCATCTTCCGCTTTCTTACTGCAGCTCAGTGTTGCCAAAGCAACCACCTTTTTCCAATGGGCGGTTTATCGTTGATTATTGAAGGTGAAGGGAGAGTAAATTCTTTCCGATGCGATATCGCGAAGAAAAGGGCAACGAGGGAGGAAGAGGTGCAGGGGCTTCTGCAGCGTCACGTCACCTGCGCAGCAGGAAATCCCTGCGTTCCACATCTGCGCATTCGAGATGTGGTTATAGTAGGGCGTACTTGGAAGGTGGGTGTTACCAGTAAAGATTAAAAAAATGCACACATTAAAGAGTGAAGCCCGTATAGCTTCTAGGAAAACGAGAAAGGCGCAAAGGAACAGGCGAGGCGGATTTCCCTCAGGCAGGGGATTCGGCGAAACCACGATCACTCTGCGGCAAAATCTGTGGGGACCATTAGCCTACTGGGACCTTACTGTAAAAATTAGCATGTACACATATTAGACCAGTTGTCTCCAGCGGTTTTTACACAGAGTTGCTCATAGTTCACTAATAGTTCGAGACTAAATCAAGGGCACTTGCACATGCAAAATACTAGAAATCGGATGTGTTTTTGTAAGTGTTAAGCGGACTATATAAGCTCCCTGCAGGCTAATAGTAGCTGCATGGCGGTCGACGAGCTACAGGCCACTTGCCCCAAACCCATCGTTCGGTACGTGTGCTGTAAGGGTCCTCCGGGATTTACATGCACTAAGCCGTATAAAGTTCGTGGGGTGCTTTGGTCTTCCTACAACATAGGACTGCTGTCCAGAGCGACACGACCACCAAACAGGCATCCATCATCCATTTTCTGTAACTGCTTTATCTGCTCAGGGCCGCGGGGGCTCCGAAGCCTATGCCGGAGGTTACGGGTGCAAGGCAGGGAACAGCCCAGGATGGGGCGCCAACACATCGCAGCCGAACTAACATCAAAAAGGAACACATTTACACACAGAACAATACGCTACCCAGTTTGACATAAACACAGGTAATCCTGCCTAAATTACCAGAATGCCGGGGGGTACAAAACAGGTTCATCCTATCCATCGGATAAGAGGGTCTGCTAAGCAGGGGAGTATAAAGCTAGACGACGTGAGCCTGAAGCTTTCGCGACCCCTTCCTTATTCCTGGGCTCTTTTTACTATACAGTCTAAGGAGCTTTTTTTGCTCCCGGTCCGGGATGCGTTTCCCAAAAGCTCATGTCAGCAGCGCATAGACGGACCCATTCATTTGCATGGTCTCACCAATGCACCACCGTGTGAGATTCATTTCCGACAGTTAAAGACCAAAGATTTATTTGCAAAAATTCTGAAAGAACTGTTGTTTTTATACGAACATGCAGGGAGAGCACGGCCGAAGTGGTGGTTTATATCTATATTTGTATCATGTAAACGCTGCGCATTATCTTAGGCAAATCTATATTATTCCAGTATGAACCTAAAGTTAGCTACATCAAAAGCGTTGGGACATTTTGTAAATCCTACGAACTATTTACAAAGTAACAGAACTCTTACGTACATGTAAATGAGTGTGCAGAGCTGAGAATCGAACCGAAACTGTCAGCCATGTATTTCGGGATAAGGGAGCGCGTCTCCCACGTAGCAAAGTGTCGCAAAGTATCCCCGAATTACCGAAGAGGTAGCATCAAATGAAGACCGGTTAAAAAAAATACAAAAACAAAAAACTAAACAGGAACTTGAATGTACTACATAGAGAAACCAAAGAGAAGCGATAACAATTGCTATGATATATCGTGTCTTCCATGAACACGGTTTTTCTGTAAAAATTGTTTATTTTTCGCGAGACTGGATTCACTCGGCCATGGGTGTGATCGGCAGGGAACAGGAAGGCGCCGTTCGCCGGTCCTTTGTCGCCTCCCTGCGGCGAGTGCATTAAAAAGACCATACAAAGAAATTCCAGCAATTTAGCATATATCACATCTGCAGGCTCACGACAGTCTGTAACCTGTTCGCGAAACAAGCTTTTCGTAGCAGCAGCTGCATGGACGCCGCGGTGCCGCGGCTGGAGGCGCGAGGTGGGGGCTTTAAAACTTAACAAATGTGTTAATCCCGTCCAGCCACGTGACCTCCGCGGAAGCTTTCTTTTTTTTCTTTTCTTTTTTGGAGGGGGCTGTTGAATGTAAATCATATCGCTGAAGTAACGTAAGAAAGACTGCAACTCTGGGCGAGTAACGCGAACCAGGTCGAGGAAACGTACAGCAAACACGGTACTGTCCGCTTTCTGCACCGGTGGCACTTTAATTAAAGTATTGAAAAAAATGTGCAAAAATGACGCCGCTTTTATGTATAGCCAAAAATATCTTTTCTTTTTCTGAGAGAACTTAAATCTTATCGGTGTGATGCTGTAGATGTTTTTCCCAGCTCTAATGGATTTGACCTAAAGAATTGCAGGAATGTGTGTGCTTTCTTATATGTGTTTGTGTGTGGCTGTGTGACCGCTGCGTTTTATTTTGGGTTTATCTGATTTAAACAGTCTGGGGGCATCAGCAATGTAAATAAGTGTGACATTCTATTTTTAAGTCCACGCTTGTTGATGGCCCTACCTGCCATACGAATAATTAGTATTTTCGCTTAATCAGTGCTTATAGTGGGGCGGTACTCACTGGTACCCATACATATATATACACACAAATATGACCCGACTACATATATATGCACTGTAAAGTTTTCAGCGAAAAATTCAAAAGCGAAAAGCTTTCCAAATTTTTTCCGTAGTTTACATTGATTTAGCAGATGCCTTTAAAGGTCCAAAGCGACATAAAAGTGAGACAAATACCAGTAGTACCGGTACCTCTCTTCAGAATATCGGGAACATTTCTTACGTACTGGCACGTCTCATCGCCTGCTTTTCACGCTTCGGCCACTGCACTTTGTTCTCTTTCACGTTCTCTGGCAGTAAATTTATAGCTATGGTGACTTAAAACGACAGTAATGATATTGCATAATTTACATAATTAACAAAACATGTTCCACCTGCAGTCTGAAACATTTGTATATAGTATAGGCTACTTTTTTTTTTTTTTTTTTTGGTGGGGGGGGGATTTCTTTTACACCGTCAGGAGTTTAGTTCGGTGATGCTTCCATATAATGGTGCCTATTATCTGAGAGAGAATATAGAATATTTATTTTGGTTCCGTGACCATACAATGGTGATACTTGTTTTTAAGTTTTTACAGGTGCATTAACTGGTTCTGTTTGGCGTGAGATATACTGAAACATACATATTAAGTGTATTTCTGAATGTGGGCTTCCTGTTTTGAGTTTTCTATTTAATGCTTTTTTTAAAACCGATCTAATCTTGAGTGGTAGTGTGGGAGGAAGTACCGGGGCACTTCAACTCGTAGCGCAGATGCCACAGTGGAAATCAGAGTGAAGGCGGTCGGCTTCCTTTGGGGGGGCTCCCCGTGCCACTGCAATCCCCAGTGGACCCCCTGCTGCCTGCCGGGAAGCGGATAATCGCTCCTGCACCGTGATCGGTGACTCGGTTTCCCATTTTTAAAATAGTAAATTCGGAGCATAGTAGTTCACGCGCGAATGCATGCGTGAAAGAGTGTACGGTGTCAGCTGAAAATGATGCTTTACCGGTTCCTTACACCATACTCAGTGCTTTCATTTTACATCACCTTGTTTTTATATCCTTCACGTTCCCCTGTCTTCTGCATTTTCGCGTGGGGTTTTAAAGGGCCGTGCGCTATATCGGGCCGGGCGTTTTTCAAATTCGGGTACAGTCACTTTGTTAATATTCTGAGTAGTTATTTCAGAGATTCACTGCGTCCCTCTTTCCTCCTTTTCCGGAAGGTGTCCTTCCCAGAAGCCCAGGTTTCGATAAGTATGCAGCAACTTTGCTTGCTGGTTCCCAAAAGGCCCACAGGCTGCATGGGGGGTTGGCCCTCTGAACACTGTCAGGCTTCAGTGACAGCAGGGGGACAGCAATAAATGTCACTGCCTGGAAGGACTTGGTTAGTCACAGCCATTGTGACGTGTGGCCTTGGTTTGCAATTGGTTGAATAACCTGCAAGAAAGATGGAGCAACTGGTGATGAAGTAACTGGCTTAAACGTTCAGAAAACACTTCAAATTGCATACAGACGTCCGGCGGTGTTTCCCATGCTATCCCCCTCGCAGAGTGATTTTTGATAAATCTAGATGGGATATTCGCTCTCCGGATGAGGCATGTCTGTCATTTAGAGCTCATGGCACATGGAGAAGATAGCAGCTTGGTACAGAAAGGACTTTTCTAGAGGTTTGATATTTTAGTAGTAGTAGGTCTTGCAAGCCCTCTGGATGGAGGTCCGAGTGGGCTTAAGAAACACAAAACTGGCATACGTACATGTGCATACATCTGTCAGATAGGCATTACTTCGTAGGGACCAAGTGTCCCCACAATGTGATAAAAAAATATATATATATTTTTGATTTATTTTGATGTTGTGGGGACTATTTTTTTTTTTTGGTCTCCACAAGGGGAAATTAAATTGTACAAAAATCTGTGACTGCAAACAAAAAACTAAATATGCCACATGATTTGTATTTTTTTTTTGGTTACTTATGGTTAAGGTTAGGGCTGGGTAGGGGTTAAGGTCATCATTGTTGTAATTAGGGTTATGCCCATATAAATGAATGGATGGTCCCCACAAAGATATGAGTTCAGGTCTGTGTGTGTGTGTGTTTATTTGCAATATACTGTAAAGTGCAATTTTCAGTGGAATTTAAAAAGCTTGCCAGAATACATTTATTCAGCAGATGCCTTTATCCAAGTGAGAGAAACAGCACATCACATGTACACAGCTGACAAGAAGCCAACTAGGCACAAGTGCAGCTAGAGTGAGCTTGTGACATAACAAGTGCAAGATAGTTATAGTACCAAGAGCTGTACAAGTACAACACCAGGAGGATCTAGTAGGGATGCAGCCTAGGTGCGAATTACGAGATCTTGTAGTGCCAAGTAAAACCGCCAATGGAGCTGGAGAGCAGTGAAGGATTAGTGGAGAGATAAGGGTGGGTGGGGTCTTCTCAGAGGAGAGATGGGCCTTAAGATGTTTCTTGAAGGGCATGAGAGACTCTGCAGACCTGGTGAAGTTGGCTAGCCTGCTCCATCTTTGAGGAAACACGCAAGAAAAACATGTAGTGACACTGTTTTTAACGCAATGCAGTTCTGCATTTAGCTCAGCTTACTGAGGTTGGATGACGAGGCAAAGGCTCTGGTGGGTTAGAATGTGAGTCATGCAGCCGTGTGGATGGAGGTACCTGTTCTGAGTCTGGTCAAGCGAGTCACAGTTTCCTCTAACTTCCCTCCAGCCTTCAGTGGAAGGAGCATGCAGAGAGTCTCTGTAACCCTCCTTGTTGTAAATGAGCCAGCAAATAGCTGAAATGTTTTGCATGTGAATCGTCCAATTCCTGCTGCGGAGATGTTGGGGAAGTGTGAGACGGGTATGTGGCACGGATACCAGGCCGCGCTACTCCTGGAACATACTAGAAGTTCAAATGCCTTAATTTGGATTATTTAAATTCCATCTCACAGATACGACCATTTTTGGATGAAGTTTTACCTTATTGAACAAACAAATTGTCAGTCAGCCCCAGTCCATCTCTTGTTTTTCTATTACTGTACTGGTGCTAGATTTTGTTGTATTTTGTCATTTCCCTGCCCCCCCAGTGAAGACGCTGCCCGGCAGACAGTGAAAATTGGCTCAAGGTGTGATTTTTCGAGAAACGGCTGCGGTTACGGTTTATTGCTGGTAAAATGCGCAGACCTGATTGGTCGAGGGTTCCGAAGCAACAGCACTGAGCTTATCTCTGGCAGTGCTCACACACTCACGTGTGCAGATGCACAAACGCTCCCCGTGACATGAAACCCGGCCCTTCTGAAATGTCGCTGCTGACCAATGAGCCACAGGGGCCTCCCAGATTTCACTTCTCTTTGAGAAGGTCTGTCTCCCCGCCTCGATGTCCATGTCCACGTGGAGCAGCTACACCATGGTGAGCTTCTCCTCCCAGGCTGCCCTCCTTGTCTTCTTTTGTTCATTCATTCATTTGTTTGAACGACTTTAATGGTCCCTGGGCTGTATAACTGAAACACTTCTAGTTGCAGGTGTGTTTGAGGGCTGTACCTTCTGCTGTTTGAAGTTTTATTTTATGTTTGTTATTTAGCATTTATTTTAAGGGAATTAACTGTACAGCTACACAAGTCCCAGATTAAACATCTAACTGATACATGGCTGATCGGCTGGTTGTTCTGGCTGATTGGATGTAATCCTTGACATTCCTGGGCACTGTGTGTGGCCCCTTTAGAAATTTGTTATATAAGTGTTATATAAGATAAAAGAAACTTTATTGATCTCAGGAGGGAAATTCTTGTGAGTCGTCACCCTGAGTCCTGAGTACAGCTGAGCTTGATTCTACTCACTGAGAGAGCTGGAAATTCCCTCCGTGGGTGGATGCCCCCCCTCCCCCCGTCCCCCTCACTGTCCTGTGATGAAATCACCACCTGCCCATTTCCAGCTGACCTGGTCCTCACATTCGTTGTTGCTTGTGGGTGCAGCATGGGGTTGGTATTAACCATCCCAGACCAAAACGCTGTGGGCTCCTGTGCCCGTCTATCTCCTCATCCCACCAGCTCGTTTTCAGATATTCACAGACCACGTTCTGCAGTGGCCTTCTGGTGAAATGCGACTTTTATAGATGTGCTTGTGTCACATTAACTGTGGTGGTTTAAGAGCGGATGGGGGTTTTATGGCAGGGTTGCCCGCAGAGATGCCGGCAGAGAGGCCTGTGTGACAGGGGTAGGCCATGTCCATCTCAGCTGCGTGCGTCAGGCCCTGCCCCCTTGTAGCTTCAAGCTTGCATCACGGCAGCAATTTACGGCCTGGGGTTTCCTGCCGGCTAACGGTGTGATGATCCTTTAGAGCAGGTGTCGCCTACCTTTTTGAAACTGAGAGCTACTCCAGAGGTCCTGAGCCAAACTTCATGTATAATAAACTTGCTTTAAATATTTCTTTTAGATATTATCATTTTCAAATCTATATAAATGCAAATGTGATCAAAGAAGAATAGCAACAGGATAAAATTAAATGTTAGACGCTGCTCACTGGTGAGTCGTGCTATTTTTAGAACAGGTCTGCGGGCGACTCATGTGGTCCTTGGGGGCGTCCTGGTGCCCGTGGGCACCATGTTGGTGACCCCTGATGTAGAGTAAATAGAGGCCACAA